TTTATAGCTTTGACATGGATATTCTTACAACGGCACTACACTGTGTGTTTGTGTGTATATGTGTGTGTGTGTAGATATTAGCTATTAATTGAGAACAACTTACGAATAATAAGTTACAACACTTAGATGAAATTACAAGGGTTTATAACAATAACGAATTCTAATTTATTATAATATGACGGCCGATTAAAAAGGTTGCTTTATCATAAGCTGCTTTGGACACGGCAGTTAGAATAATAAATAGTTAAAAGAATTTAAATAGTTTTCATTATGCACTTAGAGAAATAAACAAATAATTTGTAAAAAGCTTTCCATGGTCACGAGCGCGTGAGGAGCTGTTTTCACGAGGAGCTAACACCATGCAAGTTGCTGTTTATGCTGGAATTATATTACTATACTCGTAGTTTACCTTGAGAAGACTCCTTCTCCCAATGAATATAGGCCTCCAAAGAATGCCACTAAGCACGTCCTTGGGTACCTGCTCCGGTCTGAAGGCTAAACAAAACCAGTATAATTACAGGCTATGGGGTATTCACATGGGTGACAAACGACAGTAGCCTTCTATATGGGCTGCAGTAAGTACTAACTATCGGGGGTACTGTAGACAGCAATTCAGTTTTATACAATTGAATAAAAGCCTGTTCAATAATACCGTAACTGGCATATTTTTTATAGTATAGGGTGACAAACGAGCACACAGACCACCTGATGGTAAGTGGTTGCTGTGGCCCATAGACATCTACATTTATCCTCGTTTGCTAATCAAAATGCAGATGCGTTGTCAGTCTTGAGGACTACGATGGAATGCCTCATTTCCAGTAAAAAGGGTCTCCGGTTCTCTACACTCACCATATGAAACACAGCAGCATAAACCTGCTATTTTACTCTAGTATTCTGTGATAGCGTGATCCTACCCCGGTCGAGCCGACCCATTCGTGCTACAACTATACCAGTAATATAGCTGTAGCATGGCTCTACCATGCAAAAGTGTATTACGTGATAGATATCGGTAGAGTTACGCTGCAGCTGTATTATGGTTGTAGGACGAATGGGTCAGCCCGACTGGGGTAAGACCACGATCTCGCAGAGTACCAGCGTAAAATAGCAGCTTAACGCTGCTGTATTTTGTATGGTGAGTGTAGACAACCGGAGGCCCTTTTTTCTGGAAATGATGCATTCCATCTTAGTCTTCAGGGGTGAACGCATCTGCATTTTGATTCTTAATCTAGGGCGAATGTAATCTGTGGTATACCAGATAGTGATGACGTTCCTTTCCATCACTAGACTGTCGTGTTCGAAATTAGCATCTTCGAATATACTCGTATGTGACGACGCTGCCAATAGCGTAAACGGACCGAACAACAATCGAAGCATAAATCACGCTATCGAAGTTTCCGGTTGACTCTGCATAAAACACAAGGTTTGCAAGCACAAGAGTAGCGATTGCTAAAATTCTATCCATTCCAGCATACTTTATGCAAATTGATTAGTAAGAAAAAAGGAATTAGGTATTAAAAAAATGTATAATCGATTTAAAAATATCGATTTTTTTCGATGTTTCATTCGCATAAGAAACCACTGCATTCGCGATTCGTTTGACGTGGTGTCGAGACGACAGAGATCTAATAAGCAGTATTAAGAGATCGCGGAAACGACTTATGCGTCCAAAGTAGGATACGCCTTATTACCACATTGCGCCGATGTTCAGAGATGCTGCCTGTCGCGATATTAGACACATTTCAATAGAGCTAGAAGACAAATGTGCAGTGGATGTGATGCGTTATTATCGCAAAATCAATTAAGTAAACTTTGATGGTCTGCAAATTATAACATTCATATATAATACACAATCTAATATATAAAAAATTATGTTTGTTTTTCCGTATATTATGCGTTGACATACAGTTCATCAAATTGTTATAAGCATAGTACAGTGTAGTAGTAATATGCCGACAAATTTATTTGAAAGTTGTGTATCATTCAACTTCAATGCATGTAGGTATCATTGCTAATTAAACTATATAACCCCTTCAAATTAAGAACGATATTTTAACGATTATTTCTTCTGCGGCAGCTATGCGCCGGTTACCAACCAGTTCAATAATAATTATACAGTTGATTTTTTTATGTTGTACGTGCATAGACAAATAAAAATATTCTAGTCATAAGCTCGATTAAAAAGAACTGCATATCTAAGATGTTCTCAATCTGTTGCAATAAGGGATAATAGTAATAGTATTACGCTCACCAGATGTCGCTAGTTGGGAATAAAGTGAACTTATATGTCATGCAAATGGTCACACAGTGTCATCATAATTGATAAGTTGCGGTTTAATTAAAAGGATTTCGATTTTTGTGTATGTATATGCAAAAACAATGCCTCAGTGCTTTATTCTTCAAATTTTTACACATTTTAAACTTTTGAATTCTTTTACTTTTTAAGAATACCCGTAGTTTTTTTCTTTAATTTCTGATCTAATTAATATAAAATACTAACTAATATTTCAGAAATAAACATCTCCACTTTTCTAACAAATTAACTGCCACCGCCATGAAATCTGTCAAATGTTTCACCTCACTTCAAAGTAGTGGTGTTCTGGTGGCAGAAAAAGTCGTGGATTCTCATCATTAGTGAGAAATTTAAATCGTAGATTATTCGAAAAGCAGACAATTTCATTTTGTATGGAGAGTGGGCCCACCACAAATGGAAGCGTAACTTAATGAAATACATGTCGATTTATTCCTTATAAGTTATAGATTACATTAGTAATATTAGTTTCACCGTAGGTATCTAACGGGAATACTGTGAAATTAGTAATTAAAATATGAATATCACAATAACCTAAAAACAAAATAAAAGCGATGGTCTAGTAGTTTTCACCGGTATTACAAGTTAAAATAGTGCACTGGTCAATAATTAATAGTATAAAACAAAGTTGTAGGTACATTCAGCATTTATAAGTATTTTAAGATCGATGGAAAATCCTTTTAGTAGTTCGTTCTTCGTTACACGCATTATTTTTTTCATAATACATTAGCCTGGACACGAATATCAAAACAAATTTTTTTTGTTACTCATTGTCGCTTTTTATGATTCTCGCGGGACGATATGAGGTGATTCAATATCGTATATTTTTTACATGGTAGAGCCATGCTGCAGCTATATTACTGGTATAGTTGTAGCACGAATGGGTCGGCTCGACCGGGGAAGGACCACGCTCTCACAGAATACCAGCGTAAAATAGCAGCTTAACGCTGCTATGTTTCGTCTGGTGAGTGTAGAGAACCGGAGACCCTTTTTTTACTGGAAACGAGGCATTCCATCTTAGTCCTCACGGGTGACAAGGCATCTGCATTTTGATGCGTAATCGAGGATAGATGTAGATGTCTATGGGCCACAGCAACCACTTACCATCAGCTGGACTATGTGCTCGTTTGTCACCCTAATTCTATTCAAAAACAAAAAAAAATACAATATCGAAAACATACTTGGACTTATTTCCTTATATCTTGTACTGATATTTTACAAATGAGAATCGAATTCTAATCAACACAGTGTGTCATATCCTCGAATTGATCACTCAATTGACAATTAGTGGATGTAGCGGACTGATGAGTCTGCACTATACAATACCCAAGGCTGTCTAATGTTTCCCTTTTGCACAAGTACAGGATGTGATTTAGTAGGTCACAGGTTCCGGCACTGTATATTACATTTATATAAAATAATTTATAGTTGCTCCATCTTAGAAGTAATTAAGTTGACTGCTAGCCTATTAGTGTGGATAAGTTACTCATTAATAAACAAAGTTAAGTAGTTTGCTGAGATCTGAACCAAGAAATAACCTAAGACATCCACCACAGGAAAAAAAGAATAGGGCCACCCTTACCGTTACAGCCTATAAGAGTCCACTGCTCAACAAGGGCCTCCACCAAGGAATGCCACAAAGCACGATCCTGAGTCACCTGCATCCATCAACTTCCTGCATGTCGTACCAGGTCGTCACTCCATCTCGTGGGGGGTCGCCCTACACTTCGCCTACCGGTACGAGGCTGCCACTCGAGAACCTTTATTCCCCATCGGTTGTCGGTTCTTCGAGCTATATACAGGAAAAAAAGAATAAGGCCACCCTTACCGTTACAGCCAATTAGAGTCCACTGCTCAACATGGTCCTCCACCATAGATTGCTTCATAGGGTGTTTAGTATTAGAGGTGCAGCGCGAATGTTGGCTCCAAAGTAAGAGAACCAAGCTTGCGTAGAATATAATCTTACAACAGCAGCATATTATACTGTATGGTCTCATAATTCGAGTAGGCGAAGAACACCGAAAACACTTATTAATAATGCATCCCATCTTAGTCCTCAGAGGTGACAATGCATCTACATTTTGATTCTTTATTGAGAATAGATAGGTGTGGGTGATGTGGGGCCATTCAATGACCATCAGGTTGACTATATGCTCATTGAGTAACTCTCCTTTTATTCTGTCATTACAGCCAGTGTCCACTGCTAAACATAGGTCACCACCGTAGCTATTTGCCATAGTTCATGCTTGTCTAGTGGGCAGGCTACCGGTTTTTTTTATATTATATAATTGCTGTTCACGCGACTTCGCCCGCGTGTTTTTCGGGGTTTTAATGTTTTTGCGCGGAACCCTAATTCTTTTTCTAAAATAATATTAGCCTAAGTTACTCCTTGTGACATCAGCTATCTGCCAGTGAAAATCCCGTCAAAAACTGTCAAGCCGTTTCGGAGATTAGCCGGAACAAACAAACAGACAGACGGACAGACAGACAGACAAAAACTTTAAAAATTGTATATTTGTTATTAGTACTGTATATACTTTCATATGCATTTAGTAAAAACTGTAACTTTGACATTACAAACAGACACTTCACACTTTTATTTATTTGTATAGATATGATGATTTTCAAAGGTTCTAAATATGTGTTCCTTTGTTACAGTGGGGACGCCGAGTTTATCACAACAAACTACAATATGAGGAACAACGTCAAGTGAGTCACTTTTACATGATGATTTTGTCTATCGTAGGCCTTCTGGTACTCCTTTTTTAGTTGGTACCATCTGGGTGGGGACCACCGTATTACCTGATTCTGCCGGCGTACGGTATTGTGTTTGGTCTGAAGTGTAAAGGGAATAAGCACAATTACAGGCTGTGAAGCATTCCGCCTTGGACCTCTGAGGTGACAACACATCAGTAGCCTCCTTTCTTTCAAGCTGGTTGCAGGTGACCGTGGGCTGCAGTAGCCACTTTTCTTATAGGATAAGGGTGACAAGCGAGCACACAGTCCACCTGATGGTAAGTGGTTGCTGTGACCCATAGACATCTACATACATTTATCCTCAATAAGGAATCAAAATGCAGATGTGTTGTCACCCGTGAGGACTAAGATAGAATGCCTCGTTTCCAGTAAAAGGGTTCTCCGGTTCTCTACACTCACCATACGAAACACAGCAGCGTTAAGGTGCTATTTTACGCTGGTATTCTGTGAGAGTGTGGTTCTTTTCCGGTCGAGCCGACCCATTCGTGCTACAACTATACTACCGATTTAGCTGTAGCATGGCTCTACCACGACTCCAATACCTGAATATTTTAAAACGCTATCTTAAAAATACCTAAACTACTACAGTCCGACGGAATCATGTAGGCTGTAAGTTCGTTTTTTACTTCACTTTTATAAAAAGAAGACGTCAATTAAAATACCTACGGAATGAATTACACTGATGGATCCTGTAACGCCGCCATGACCTTGCGACCTTGCAACGGTAATTTAATTATGAATGAGACTTGTGGTCGCACCGATATCAAATAGAATGGAATAGAATATTCCTTTTAATCCAGTAAAGATGACAAAGTTACCACTGCTTCGGTAAAAGCTAAAGCAAGAAACCAGCGAGACTTTTTTTTTTGTCAAAGTAAATTATACAATATGTACACAGGTTGTACAAACTATTTACAAAACTTATTTAAGTAACAGCATGGAAGCGACCACCTAGGCGTTATTATTAATTATATATTTATTTATTATATTATATTACCCATTTTTGTATTTATTTAATAAAATATTTAAACATGGTAATACAGAAACCTTGTATATATTCTGGGGCTATGTTGTTATAGAGTATATGTCACAGCCAACTAGCTTAATTAACCTTTCAGTTAAATATCAGGCCTTTTTACTATTAACTAGTGGTCTGAATGATATTCTGCCTATGCGTTTCAGGCGATGCGTCTAATACATAAATATACCTTAGTGTGGCCCGAGGACCAACCCAGCCGCACCTTAACCTACTGTCGTTGATATTGCAAGACAGTTGTAATATTGTATTAGACGCATCGACTAAATATCATTCAGGTCGCTAGTCGAACGGCGGCACTTTAGTTAAAAGGCTGGCTGTTAACTGAAAGTCTAATTAAGCTGAATTGCCTGCGACATATGCATTGCTCCATGAATGAATTACTGACTCTGTGGAGTCGAGAAACTGAATGAATCATCTATATATTTTCTTCCTTGATACTTACAACGTGCAACAGTCATTGAAAGTCACTCTTGTGTTTAAATTACCACTGTGTCGGAAAATAATTCTGTCCTGCGAAAAACCAGCTAGAAACCCAACGGAAGTTTGTTTTTTGAAAAAAAAAAATAACAGTTTACAATTATTAAAGTTACACAATAATTAACAACGCCAAACTATAGAAATGGCTTGGTAGCGATCACTTCATTCCCAGGGGTAAAAAACACTATGATACGTAACATTTTATTTTGCAACATGGCGCCTCTCTTAACTCGCTTTTATTAGCTTCGCGTGTATCTATCTATGTAACGGAATATTTTAATATGTTTTTCACAAACTTGAAGAGGGCCGGTTGACTTGGTAATTTTTACTTGTATATTTATTTTAAAAATATAATAATTTAATAACTGTATCCTTGTATCCTGATTAGGATGATCAGGACAAAATATTATAATTTTGTCTTTAGCGTGTTCTTTTAGTTTTTTTTTAAACTCTAATTATTATTAGTAAAAGTGTCGATAGATATGTGAACAGTTACATTTTCACTTTCATCGTGTATCCATACCAGCAAATAAAACCCTGGCAATGTTTCAAATGAGAATGTTCATGTCACGCGTCATCAATTCAAATATACTAAACAGTTTCCTACATTAACTATTCAATTGAGCCGACTGTTCAAAGAGCGTTGTAAAATTTGTTCTGGCTCTATCGTAGTGATTGATTTGAAATTTTATTACTAAAAAAATATGGGTTTGTAAAATGTTTAATAGGAATAATGAGTAAGGCCAACAGTTCCAGAAACTACAGGAACGTATAGTAGGAACATATTAGTCCCTTACTAATAATTACCACATGTCCCTCATCAATTTAATCGGTTACTACTAGCGATTTTTCCGGACCCTCCAGAAAAGAGCCCTTTTTAAAAAAACCAGCAACGCACCTGCAATATATAATGTTACACCGAAGGTCAAATATCAAAGCCATTCCACCATAGTCTTCAGGGTGACAACGCGTCTGCATTTTGATTCTTATTATATATACCGAAGGATCCCTTGGCGTGACGTCCCGCCAGTGTGCGCCGGGACTAAGGCGACAAAATTAGCGAAAAGTACTGAACCCCTGTTTCCTTAAAAGTATTATTTATTTGTTATTTAATTCGTCAATTTAAAAATTCATACTCTTTTATAGAGTTAATAGGCGATAAACGAGCACACAGTCAATCTGATGGTAAGTGAATGCTGTAGCCCATAGACATTTATATCTATTTAAGAACAAAATGCAGATGCGTTGTCACACCTGAGGCCTTAGATGAAATGCCTTGTTTCGAGTAAAAAAAGTCTCCGGTTCTCTTATTATATCAGCATTAAGCTGCTATTTTACGCTGTTATTCTGAAAGAGCGTAATCCTTCCCCAGTCGAGCTGACCCATTTGTGCTACAACCATAATATAGCTGCAGCTTGGTTCTACCACGAATAATGCATCCGGAACCCGTTCTTTTTTATTGTCTTTGTCGTTCTAAAAATATTCATATTATTGAAATCCACCGCAAATTACTTTAAGCTCTTAGGTAACAGTCGGTTAACTTGTGTTTACCGGTATTACGTCTTAGCGCCTCGCAGTGATTACGCAATGTACTCAAAGTAACATTAGCACGACGCTTTATATGTGTATGTCCGTGTGTAAACTACGTCACAACTCTACTCGCGTGCAAATTGGACTCAGTCCTCGTATTATGCTCGAGTTCAACCAACCAGGAGTTTTACATTAAAAGTGTTACAAATGTAAGCGGAAATAATTTACTAGCTTTTATACTAGCCGATAAACGCGTTTTCGTCCGCGTTGCTTGATATATATACATAGTTTTCGCATATTCGAAGGAAAAAATTTCAAAAAGACAAAATTTCTTTGTACTCGTAAGCAATATTATTCGCCGCTCCGTTTGTAGCTAAAGTATACAAATTATATGGATTAGAAACGCGATAGCAAGCGACCTACAGTTGACTGTGTGAAAAACCCCGTATAAAAACGTTGTTTCTTAAAACTTTAATAACTTTATAATAGAAGATATCGCAATACTTTTTTTTTGGATAAGGGCCAAGTGTCTTAGAAATAAAACTTAGAAAACCTAATTGAAATCTATCCAGTAGGTTTTTTTTTAATGTGTGCACAACTGCTAACCTCTATCTCTTTATTTATAATATATAAATAGATTAGGTCTGGGAGGTCTGGGACCTCGCTCTCACAGAATACCAATATAAGGAACCGGAGATCTTATACACTGGAAACGAGGCACGTGATAACTCATCTGCAGCCACTTACCTTATACTGTGCACTCAATTGTCATCCTTATTCTATAAAAAAAATATATAAAAAAAACAACGTTATCCTTATCACTAAAAGCGCCGTTCAGACATTTCTAAAAAATATATAAATGTAGGTTTAATAAAATAAATAAAATAAATAAATAAAATATCTTTATTTCAGGCAACACAGGACCCATATAAGAATGTTAGTAACAGTGAAATGAAATAAAACTTAAATTATAGTGTTAGTAATTAAATTAATTTACATAAATAATGATGACAAAATGTAAAATGTAAATGGAGATGTTTGAGACCAGCCGCCACGAGGGTACCGGTGACTTATACCGTGGCATGTAGCCGTATCCAGCGCTCAAGCAGCGGCGAGTCCCACCTATCTGCCATTGTGTTGAGAAGGCTATTGGAAAGCTAAATAATAAGCTAAATAGCTAAAGTTATTAGAATTGGAAAAAATCAAGCGCGTTCAAGAGCTATTTACAATTAAACGATGTAAGCTGAGGTTTAGAAGACACCGAACGCGAACAGTTTAAAAATAGATTGTACTTAACCGACTTTTTATTCGTAAAGCTAAAACATCAATTACTGTACAGTTAATTGATTTGAGAAGCAACTCTAGCTGAATAACTTGTCAGATGGTTTTTGCATTAATTTCAAGGAAGCTCAAGGCCAATCCCCACGAGGACGTCACTCTTAGTACAGTTTCGTTTTCTTCTTAGATATAGCTTATGTTTGGTTGCCTTGTCAAGTGGTTGAATCATCAGCTGGTTTCCACATTACACTACCGTCCATACGGTCCGCTACAGTGTGACTTACGCGAAATTTTCTGCCTTGCACGACCGAATTTACTGTCACCAGAGGTTTTTCTGGACCGATACGACTTAGGGACCTTCAAGAAAAGAGCCTACTCTTTCTAAAAGGCCGAGAACGTACCTGCGATTCCCCTAGTGTTGCAGATACTCATGGTCGACGTTGATCACTCTAAAAAAAACTTATAAAGAAAACAAATTAGTTCAACGAGGATCGTTTTGATTTAATACATCTATAATATCTATAATATAAAAATGAATCGCTGAATGTGTTGCTAAGCGCAAATCTCGAGAGCAGCTGAACCGATTTCACCAATTCTTTTTTTATAATATTCCCTGAAGTACGAAGAT